CAATTTATAAGAGAAAAAAAATTATATTCATACTTTTAATTGAAAACCCATCTGGAAATAAAACAAATCGATTAAGTGCACTGATAACTAAATATTAACAATTATGTAAAGCCAATCTCAATTTAATCTCAATTTGTATATAAAACAAAGATTATCGGAGTATGTTTTATAAGAAAATACTATTTCAGGCTTCAAAATTACACATTTAATTCACTGTGTGACTTGCTGTTTCTTTGTAATTATTTGTAAAATTTAAAAGCAATTTATGAGTGAAAAATTGTTTTTTCAGTGTGCAGACAGAGTGATAAATCGCTCTGAAGCAACACCCAAGTTCAAACGTGAATAACAGAAGCTTTTAAATTAAATTTCCATGGATGATCGTCTCCGCGGCCCTGTGAGAATTGGAACAATTTGTAGGCGTTGAGCTAAAACGTGTATGAAAAATTAAAATCACATCTAACCTTGCTCCATCTCGGTGTCATTTGACTGTTCTGTTGTGATGTTTCTGGAGGCCCGCAGCCCACTCACTCTCTCTACCCATGAGATAAAAACGCAATTATATAGCACGATCCTGAGACGCTTCGTTACCCTCATGGTGGAAATACAGTTCATAGCATCTCTGAAAGCTTACAAAATCGTTTATAGTGGCCTCTTAAAGCAGATTGTGGCAGGAACATATATTCTGCTACTCTCTGAAGACGGCAGATAAGTTATCCAGACATCGCATAAGAAACACTCTTGATCAGGATTTCAGTCATCTGTCATCATTTACACCGAGTGAAAAGCATCAGTAGGTTCACCATTGCCGTTTGTATGTGAACGCTGCACCCCGACTCATTAGAGAATTCCCATTACTCCTATTAAAGTCCCATTAAGCATGTGCTGATAGCACCGAATTCACATCAAGCTCCACCAGCTAATAAGGCTTCGCTTCTGCACTTTACATGAGTGAGGAGGAGATGCAAAGAGGTAACAGAGACATTCAGGACATCCAAAAAGAAAGTAAAAAAGCAATCAGTAAATATACCGCAGCAGATTGTATATTTACAAATGTTCACTTGTCTCATCGAACCCATTCAGAAGCAAAGTGACATAGTAATCAGAAAGCATTACACTGATCATGACTGTAATGCGTGCTGGCAGCTCATTGGAAGCGGGGCGGGAGGGAGACTGCTGGTCTATGGGAAACCGCAGCCGATGATTGTGCTATTTGGGCGGAATCTGTAGCACCTCGTGGCTGTCGGCCTCATAGCTCCTCGCTGTGACTGATGAGAAGGGACAAGGTTAACGTGGGTACGGGAGGCGCAGCTGCACTCCAAACCATTCATCACTAGCAGCCGCAGATTACAGCTCAAGCTAGCGGCCTGTCTGCGGACGAACAGTCCCCGCTCCTCTCAGGTTCACACGTGCCCACTTTGTTTAACGCAGCACTTTGATCTGTCAGCGAGCGCTACGAATTGGTCTATTGGAGGGAAGATGATTTTAAAAACTGTAATATCTGTGGTATCAAATGGAATTTGAAAAAAAAAAAATCTGTCCTGTGCGCTTAGTCAAACAGACAGATAGTCCAAATTGAGCCAATGACACAGTGTTGAGCTGGTCAGGATGCATGATTATGCATATTTTGGGGTGAATGCATATGAAACTGGTATAGGAGAAAGTATGGTAATACTGATCGGCAAGATTTAATTGGTTAACATTAGTTAATGCAGGTATCATGAACTAACAATAACTTTTTTTTAAAAATAACTAATAATAATTTCAATATGCACTACCATTTAAAAGTTTGGGTTCAGTAAGTTTTACTTTCTATTAATACTTATTAATAAAATTAATACTTCTATTTAGCAAGGACACATTAAATTGATCAAACATGACAGTTAAGACATTTAAAATGTTATAAATATTTTTTTTCCTGATAAAAAGTATCACAATTTCCACAAAAATATGAAGCAGCACAACAGTTTTCAACATTGGTCATTTCTGAACATGTGACACTAAAGGCTGACGTAATGATGCTGAAAATTCAGTTTTACGTCACAGGAATAAATGACATTTTAAATATTTCAATAGAAAACAGTTATTTTAAATTATAATAATATTTCACAATATTACTGTTATTACTGTATTTTCGTGAGCATAAGAGACTTCATTAAAAACACTAAAAAAACTTGTACATGGTTGTGTCAATATACTACTAATCATATTTGTTTATAATAATGTTCATTTATACAACTTGTTAAAAATGTGTATATAGAAATTAACATGGCAACACTTTACAATAAGGTTCATTAGTTAGCATTAGTTAACTACTTTAGTTAACATGAACTAGGCATGAACAATACTTCTACAGCATTTCTTAGTAAATGTTAATTTCAACATTTACTAATGTATTACTAAAATCAAAAGTTGTGCTTGTTAACATTAGGCAATGCACTGTAAATTAACATGAACAACTGTATTTTCATTAACATTTACAACGATTAATAAATACTGTAATAAATGTATTTTTCATTGTTTGTTTATGTTAGTTAATACATTAACTAATATTAATGAATTGAACCTTTATTGTAAAGTATTTCAACATGACAAAATGACACACTTCAGCCTTAAAATACAATCTTATATAATTCAGTGACTGAAGAGATACACGTGAAAGATCTGAAAATATATCTATCCCGGTCCTAGCTGCATGGGGTGCCCCAAATATGCCAGGCTATGAGCTTTCCATTGTAAATGGTCCCAACTAAATCAGTTGGAAGGATTTCCCACAGCGAGTCCCAGTCATGATCAGTGTAATTTCTTCTCATGCCAGCACATTGGTTGCTTCAGGCAGTTCTTATGTTTTTCACTCCCGTTTTTCACTGTACGATCAAATTTGCAGGAAAGTCAGAGTAATCAGAGGAGGTGAACTCCTCCACACCATGAGCTGGAAAAAATGTCTTCTCACATCAGATGCTGTTTATGTAGGCGCGTTGGACCTTTAAATGTTCTCTCTCTGCTTTTTCCATCGAAATGTATGGAGAGATGCTGTCAGGCCGCTTGCTGTATGAATTTTAGGGATGCGGTCTATAGTGGAGCAGAGAAAACTGGCCGAGGACGCGTGAGCTTCCGGCTCAGAGTGCAGTTACACGCTTGACCTGACAGCCGTGACGAACCTTTGGATTTCATAATGTCTGGTCTGGTCATGTGACCACAGGGCCCATGTGCCCTCATGAAACGAACTGAATGAATTACATAATGAGTTCACGAAAGAGGGCCAGTGTTTATTCAGACAGCGGCTATTGGTTTTGTTTTTTTAATATAAGAATGAATGAATTCGATTTCTGCCAACTAGTGTTTAAATTACACATCGAAACCATAACGGCAATGCCGAGTTCATGATGTTGGGAATATCTGCTTCTTCAGGGTAAATTTAAGTGAGAAAGCAATCAGCCAACTCCGCAATATGACGCCGTTCACCATAAACAAGGTTGCAGCAAAACTCAGCAAACAGCAAAATTTAAGATGTCAGAAATCATTCACCATATCACAGCACTGACTGTCAACAGAAATAAATAAAGAAATAAAAGAAATAAATCCGTTGCCACGAGCAAGGTTAAGATGCAAGGCCTCAAAATCAGACAGGGGCCCTCTGCCATTTAAGCGCTCAAGCAGGTTTAACAGTCTGGACAAAGTCTCAGGATACATTACTGTAATATTTCTATCATTCAGTAAGGCTTTTACCTACCTATAGTTTTCAAAGGAAGAGTGAGACTGTACACATATAAACTGCACACATTTTCTAATTTTTTTACTTAGTATAAGTGTCTGCATTACATTAAACATATCTTGGTCAAAAGAGAACACTTTATAATAACTTTCAATAATCAATAATTCAACATTTATATAATGCTTAACAAATCAGTAGTTCATATTTCAATGTACAGTAATGATTTGTTAAGCATTATATAATATTATGCTTGCTAAATTTATTATAAAGTGTTACTGGTCAACACATGCAAAATATCAAACATCTAATACATTCGGCTCTAATAAACAATAAGCATTCAAACATTATTTTTGGGAGTCAAGATTCAAATCGAATTGAATATATACACAAACATAATACATAAGCAGTGAATATATAACATTATTTGAAACAATGCTGAACATTGAAAAAAAAAAAACTACCATTTAATCTTGCAAGGCATTTATGTGTACACAATGTCCAAAATATTAGTTTTTAAAATGCATATTTTGTTTTAGTTTTATTATTTAGTTGTGTTTAGTGTATTGCAATTGCTATATGTAATAAAAGAAAATATGTTGCTTTTAAAACTGATTTTTTTATGTAATTTCACACTTCTTGTTTTTACTCATATTCCTTTGGAAAAAAAAAAAGTGTATTTCCAAGAATAGCTAAGGAACAGGCAGACTATAATTTGCAGTGATTGACATTAATATATTGTTGAATATAAGAAAACCTCTGACATGTATCTTGCAGTGGCTATTTCTAACACTGCCAGCACACGTCACACACACTAATATATAGGATACCGAGTACCACCATAGACATTCACTCAGGATAATGAGTCAAGATCATGGACCTTAAACAGGAATGTAGCCAGCTTGGGAACAGGTTTCTTAATATAACGACTGTACAAGTTATCCTTAGTAAATCAGAAAAAATATAATATTACGTGTCAACCACTGAGGTATATAGCAGGCTGCTGTTCTTTGATTACTAAATAACCTTCGGAGTGAATAATTCAAATTTGGGAGCAGCTTTGAAAGGAATATGCTTTGAAATTAATGAATTTTAAAATGTTGGTGGAAACTTGTTGGATTAATATAACAATATATCACTTGTTAATTGACAAATAATCAATCATCTATATGCACTTATCATATATATTTTTGCACGCCAACTCTTTAAATATATGTTTGAAATAGCTTTTTAAAATAGCCCTTGGCTACATTCCTGTGATATCCAGCAGTGTCTTGGTAGATCCACCAACCTTTGAAATTAGGTCTGATTCTTGCATCATAACCGGACACTTTTCCCATAAGCTTGTCCAGGAATTCTGACGGGGGCATTGGGGTGGCAGCTTTCCGAGCCGCTGCTTGTTGGGACGCTGCCAAGCTGTGGATTGGGACAAGACAGGTGCGTTAAAGAACAGAGGAGGACAAGCGTTATGCATTATGAGATTTTTTTTTAATTATTACATTCTCTACCCTGAGGCAAATGGATATGTCTGACTCAGGTCACTTTTTTCATTTCAAGCTGATGTTAAATGCTGTCATTTTCAATACTAAACAATTGATTCAAAAATTAGCTTTGGATTTAAAGGCAATTCTACGGTGGCCGAGAAGTGCAAAGCAAATCACAATTCTGAAAACAAAATAACAAATTACAAACGCAAATGCAAGTCTAAAAAACAAAATAACAATTCAGGCAAAAGGCGGGATCGAACCCGGGTCAATCGCGTCAAAAAGCCAATGTCAAGCACTTAACCACCTGCGCCACTGGAGCTGATAGTTTTCAGCTACTTTTAACTAAATGTAAATATACACTCCGTATTTTTTATTCCATAGTAAGGGCAATTCATGCAATACATTTAAACTGAGCTACTTTAATACCATCTCCGAACTTTCTACCACGACTCTGCTGTTCTTCGGCTGGTTCTTCCTGTATACGTTGATTGACAGATGTCTCGACCAGTCAGCGGTGAGTAATCCCAAACCAATGGCGCTGTCTCAAACTATACCTACCTCTTCCGGTTTGTCTGATTTGTCGTTGTATAACAAGTCAGAAAACACAACGACAAATCAGACAAACCGGAAGAGGTAGGTATAGTTTGAGACAGCGCCATTGGTTTGGGATTACTCACCGCTGACTGGACGAGACATCTGTCAATCAACTTATACAGGGAAGAACCAGCCGAAGAACAGCAGAGTCGTGGTAGAAAGTTCGGAGATGGTATTAAAGTAGCTCAGTTTAAATGTATTGCATGAATTGCCCTTACTATGGGAATAAAAATACGGAGTGTATATTTACATTTAGTTAAAAGTGGCTATGAAACATCAGCTCCAGTGGTGCAGATGGATAAGCGCTAGTCATTGGTTTTTTGACGCGATCGACCCGGGCTCAATCCCACCTTTTGCCGAACTTTTTTTTTCTCCCTTTTCAAATCTCGTATCACTTTGTAAAGGCATTTATTTTCAATAAAAATGAAGGAAATAATCAAAAAAGTTGAAAATAAAGTATCGGGTAGGGTTAGGGTAGGTGTAGGTTTGCGTTTGTAATTTGTTATTTTGTTTTTAGAATTGTGATTTGCTTTGCACTTCTCTGACACCATACAATTCAGAGAATTGTTTCTAAACACATTATAAATTAAAGTGAAAGTGACGTGACATGTGGCCAAGTATGGTGACCCATACTCGGAATTAGTGCTCTGCATTTACCAATCCAAAGTGCACACACACAGCAGTGAACACACACACACCGTGAACACACACCCGGAGCAGTGGGCAGTCATTTTTTTGCTGCGGCGCCCGGGGATGTGAACTATGTAGATGTGAACTATGTAGTACTGAATTGTGGAGTTAGACCGTTTAACAGTTTTTCACCAGCTTTCCCCTGAGTGGGCGTGGTTTCAGCGCTGCCAGAGGACATGCCCCCAATGTTTGAGAGCAGAGAATACTGCTTATTTTTTCAAGATTTTGATACCTTATTTTATTTACTTGGCTTTTTTTATCATACAAATTTGGTTGGGTGGTTAATAACAAATTGTTCTGTGGTGTAACAAACTCAAAACACATATTGCTTTACACAGACTTTAAATCTCCAGAGCTGAAGCTCATTGACTCTAGAGTAAAGGAGAAGCCATGAAAGAGCTATATGAATATGGAAATGAATCAAGACCTCGTCATACAGTATCTGTGTCCTCATTAGCATTAGAACTTAATTAGTGATAATAGGGTGCATGTCTGTCGCTTTGACACCTCAGTGTTCACACTAAATGTCAGGTCACTGTGAGTCACATGATAACTTATCCCACTGACTTTTTAGCCTACAGCCACTTTTAGTGCTTCCATAGGGCTCTTTATCTGCCCTACATGATGGACTTTAATATGTATCGACTTGTTCAGGTCCTCCCACATACGGCTGAAAACTCACAGGAACAATGGACTTTTTAAAAATCTATAGCATCAGTGCATCTGACAAAAATGGAGGATAATAATCATAAAATAGCCTGTGGTACATTGATTTCATCTAAGTCCTTGAGACATGGTCCTCTTCTTGCCAATTTCATGGGTCTTTCTTTGTGGGGATTTTTTTTAACCAGCCACTGAATCCCGTTTGGCAGCATATCCATTATTCTTTCATAGCCACTGACTTTCTGAGTCACCAGCTACCCTTTGTTTTCAAAGTATCCAATAGTCAGGCTTTTTCTGTTCTTGCACATCATTATTCTTTTTGCTCATTAACATTTACTGGCGTCTGGTAACTATTAAATTGGAGAAGTGTTTGGCATTTAAATGTGGATACATCACAGGAAAACTTCTCTTGGAAGTGCTGCTCCACATCTCTCTTCTGGAGGTAAAAATGTGTGATTTGTTCTAAGAAAACCTAAACAAAAACATGTTTAAAAAAAAAAAAAAATCGAACCTTATTTTGAACACATGCTGTTTTTATCAAATAAGCAGCATAAGAAAAACGTGACAAAGCATTTGCTATTTTGGTATCATTGAGAAACTACTACAGTTTTTGTTGTTTTGAAATGGATTTTATTTTTATATATATTTTTTGTTCCCTTTCATGGGAACTTCGAACTGCGTCCTCTAGGGGTCGCTATGGGGGAACGCCTCGTCGTGACCTGTGTCTGAAGCATACATTGAAAAAACACCAACTTGTTGGCCGGCGACAGCCATGACGTCACTACCGGTGCGACTATAGTATAAATAGGCGCCGGGAGCACACATCATTCTCTTCTTCGTCTTCATTGACTGTTTTGTTTGAAGCGTGCATTTCTGTGGTAAGAGCGATCTCTATTTATCTCATTATGGCGAGCACTAGCAAAGCATTTAAGGATGTGTGCATCCGTGTTGACGTTGTTTAACATCTGATGACACACACGATCTATGCATTGTTTGTTTGGGCAAAGAGCACGCACACGATCTCTCCGAGGGGGCAATCAGCGTGCACTGCGAGCATTTTTTCCAAGGAAAAAAGCTCCGCTCTCGGGTTACATAAGTAACCTGAGACGATTTCATGTTAATTTTAGTTAAAGTTTTTTTTAGAAATTGTTGTGTGTTTTTGTAATTTTATATCAGTTTTTGTTGGTTTTAACAGTCTGCATAGTTGTTATTCAATTTTGTTTTTAGTGGTTTTAATACATTTAATACATTGAGCTGAAATTAAGTTTTTTTATATTTTAGTATATTACAGTTAAAATGTATTTTCTTTTTAAGTAACGGATGTTACTTGTTACATTACTTAAACGTAACTGTTTTATGGTTTTAGTTTTAGTTAACTATAATAACCCTGCAGTAGCGATCCAACAGCTCAACTCCGTTGATGTAGATGCAGAAAATAAAAAGATTTTACATCGTTGCAAAAGATTTATACTTTAAATGAATGTTTTTTAACATTCTATTTATCAAAGAATCCTGAATTTTTTTATCAGATTCCACAAAAATATTAAGAAGCACAACTGTTTTCAACATTGATAATAATAATAATAATAATAATAACAAATATTTCTTGAGCAGCAAATCAGCATATTAGAATGATTTCTGAGGGATCATGTGACATTGAAACTGAATAAATTACATTTTAAAATATATTCTAATAGAACATTTATTTTTAATTGTAATAATAGTATTTCACAGTATTTCTGTTTTTATAATCCAATGTTATTTTCCCAAAACAACAAAAGGAGACTTTCTATTTTGTTCTATTAAATCAAATGTTTTATTAGTCATTTCAGAATACTTATTTATTCCAGCCTTAGTGATATATACATATATATATATTAAATGAAACGCGTGAATTGTCTCTCATTGTGAGAAACCCATTCCTTTGTGTTTACTGTAAAATTTTCCAATGCAAACATAATAAGATTAGTCACGGCATGCCAGATTATTGAGTCTCTTCCAGAGCCATTCTCTGTCACTATAGGTTCTTTACATGAACGTGCCATCTTTGTGACAGTGTGAAATCTGAGGATACAGTCTCTATTAGTTTTGCTTCCCTGCAAATCCATCTCATCGCAACCAGTAGCTGGATACATAACGTGGGCTTTAAACTGCATCTTTAGTAATTAATGGTTTCACTAATCAAGGCAGCGCTGAACAAATGAACCTTGATCGATGCAGGTCATGGCAGTGGAGAGGGCCTGATCCTTCAGCTGATGCAGCAGGAACCAAAGTAGAGCATCCTGCCAGAAAATATATGCAAACAACCCAGAGACCTGCATACTTTAATGTGAGCATCCAATCATTAGCCCTAAGCGTAGCTCATTACGTTCTTTGGACCACTGATGAACACAATCCTTATTGATCTTGTAACACCCAAGAAATCAAAGACCTCTCTGGCACCAAAATGCCATTTCTTCAAGCTGCTCTTAATTTGTCAGTGTGGTTACAGAACTGAAGGACAGAAGAGAGCATATCACAATAAGCCCAAAAGTACTTTTTTTTTTTGCATGTATACAACAGACAGAAATGAAAGGTGGTGGATCCAAAATCAAAATGAGTATTGCTAGTGACGGGACAGTGCTATTTGTGGTACGATCCTGTCTTTGATTATCAATGATGCATTAGGAGTAAAACTAATGTTTACAAAGAAGACTATTTATAGGCTTTATTTATATCTTCAGATATTGAACTAGCCGTCCTTCCCCTCATTTACAGTACTTCCACTTTTAATGGGAAAATCAGTGAAAAGCTCTAAAGCAGAGCGCAAAATTGAGATCATATATGCATCCGCTTATTTCACTGCTGTCACTACCTGTGCATATATAATTACCAGAGAGACTGAAACTAAACTCTGATACTAATCTCTATTAGCAGATATTAACCCTTGAGGCAAGTGCAATTTTTAATCGCTGAGCTTTTAGCAGCAATTTAACAGAAAAAGAATATGCAGTATGCCCTAAAGCAATGCAACTACACTTTCAAAGTGAGAGCAGGGGCACATCTGGGTCTTCATGCAAACCAGAAGAGACGACATTATAAAAAAAATAATAAATAAAATGACACAGGGAACAGAGCGTCATTGGCACAGCACTACAAAAACAAGTGCTTGCTTGGTTACATTTTATATTTTTTCTGACTCGGCCTGAACAAAACCTACAAACCAACCACTTATTTTTATTTTTTATTTTAATGGGATTTGATGACATCTTTTACTTTTAACTTTTATTTTGTACTGACATTTCAGTTTCTTTAGTCATTTTAGAATATTAAATATTTTATTGTAGTTTTATTATTAAATATTATATTTATAGCTTTATAGTTTAAGATTATATTGTATAATTAAAATATATTATATTTTTATGATTAAATATATTATTATATTTTTTAGAGTTTATTATTTTGTATTATTAGGATGTTTTCTCAAATGTTCTTGTAATATTTTAAGTAGCAATTTTGTAATATGTAGCTTTCGTTAGGCTAAATTAAGGATTATTTAGTCACATTAAATAATGTTTTTGACTTATTTAGATGTTACCACAAGAAGCACATTTTTTACAGTGCATATAAACTACATGCACACTGCTGCCTCTGCCATTAATTGGATTAGCCATTCACGGCTTAACCTGCATATTTTAGTGTGATAGTGTGATGATGACATAACATAATGTCTGCTTTATGCATGTGCTGTATTTTAATAGCTATGCCTCAGTGACATCCATACAGCAGCCTCTCACGTGACAAAACGTGCAAGCTAATATGGAAATCAATTACAGAGATGCAATTCATAGAGCAAATTATTTTTGTGTACAATTTGTATTCGTCAGTGGCATTAGCATTGGCAGAGAGATCAATGTCTAGTAATAAGTCTGCATGTGAAATGAGCTTGGGGTGTTAGGCTGAGACTGGGAAAGAGATATCAATTAACAGGCTCTGCAAAGTTCAGCAGCAAGAGCTGAGACTGCAATATCCTGAGTCTAGTTCATTAACTAAACACTGGCCATAGAACGCAAAATAATTACTGCAAACCACCGGCAAGATAAGGTGAATGCTTTTGAGATACATTTATTGTTATAGAGGATTCTTATATTTGAGATAATCAGTGTTAAGATAGAATAATCCATATGTGGACCAGCTCGTAATTGCATTATTCAAAAATGAATAAATCTGCATAAACATGGGGGCATAACGGTGGTGTAAAACTTTTAGAGGCCTATACTTTGTCATATAACTGCACCTCAGTCATTTAATGCATTGTTCCTTGAATGAACGAATGGATGACAGACAGACAGACAGACAGACAGATAGATAGATAGATAGATATTATTATTATTTTTAAGAAATATTATTATTCAAATTATTATTATTAAATAATATTATTATTATTTAATAATAATAATATAAATTAACTAACAATAATAATAATAATAATTATTATTATTTAATTACGTTTTTATCATAATTTTGTCATAGTAAACCATCATTTATGCTGGGAATTTTTTCTTTTGGGGGGGGTTAGAGGTTCTGATCCGCTAATTAAGGCCATAAACACCCAAAGAAACAAGGAGGGGGACTTGAAAGTATTTATTGCTAATACATAATTATATATTTCAGTATCGTTTTCAAATAATGTTTCATTAACAACAAAAGTTTGCAACGCGTGCTAAATGTAATGTTCGAAAACGCCATTGCGCTAGGACGTTACCATAGCAACAGCAGCCTAATCGTTGTCTACCGCTAATAAAACATAAATATTGTCATTATTATTTATTTTTATGATTTACACGTCACAAAAATATTACAAAAATTGTTGTTAGGCCTATGTCTTTAAGACAGCTGACTATATCGCTAACTGCGATACGTGGGTTGACAAAGACCGATAACAATCAGAACATTACTGACAGAAATTATTAATTTAAAAAAATTAATTCTACTAAAACGTTTTAATAAAGAAATCGCACACTTTTTAATAACGCTGCCTCATTCATTACAGGTGCCTTCATGTCTGTTGATAACATTGTATTCCTCAAATCGCCACTAGTGTTCGCTGTTTAGCCTGTTTTAAAGGGAATCCTTTCCATTTCTGATTTGGATGCCTGAATGACACTGAATTATGACTTATTTTTAATTAGCAGACATGAGATTACAGTAGATGAATTAGCAGGCCAGCGAGTCAATCATTACTTGAAATGAGCATACCTATTTCCTTAAATACAACATTCTGAGCAAAAGTAAACATTTTTTTTTTAAATACCTATATCGTTAGGAAACAATAGCCTAAATAGCATAAAAAGAAAACACTCCTGCATCAAAACAGCGAGATACTTACCTGAAAAACACAATAGTTTCCCACAAATAAATCCCGAGTGCGAACATTGTGTCAGGTTGGAGATGAGTGGATGTAGTTCGCTACAGGTCAGTGCACCCTACAATTCCTTCTTCTCTCACTTCTGAGGTGAACAATTCGTCCTTTGCTTGTTTCAGATTCCCAGAAAGGCCAAACAAATCTCAAGAGCATACAGACAAGGAGCTGGTCATCTTCCCGACAGCGGCTGTGCAGGTGAAGCGGAGCTCCAGTTTCACGCGGGTTGCGGAATTTCAGGTGGAAGCAGCGCTGTGAAAAAAAACTCGATGAGACCAATTCAGATGTTCATTCCGGACGATCCATAGCAGCATTACATGCGTAGTCGCCAAAACATTCAAAGACGCTCCATCGCAAACATTTAAAACATCCGAAACTATGCACTATATCTCCTCAGAGCGCCGGAATGTCTCCAAAGTCATTGGGAAAATATACATACGCGTCTGCTCTTTTCCTCCGCGCGCCTTTTTACGCGCATCCCAATGAACAAATGTGCCGCGTTAGTTTTTAGCTACCTCTGACTGAGGTAGCCTGATTTAGTGCGTTCTTGTTTCCCAGGGGTGAATTGTTAGTGCTGCATGAAGCTACTTCCATTGTCTGGTCCAGTTAGGAGACGCTGCTCATTTTTGGTTTCAACGCCTTTCTTGAATCCTCGTCAGAAAAGCCCAAACGCTGATATTTCAACACACAGAGCCTGTTCCATCGCTCATAAGCCCCTCAGCCCCACTGTATTTCTTGCTGCAGTCATTTACTAAACTCAAAAAGCACCTCACACACTCTCAACACACGCCCACATGCTGCTGTCATTGGTCTGAATGGCACTCCAGACAAATGCCTCCTCCTCGGATTGGAGATGCGCACTGCCATATGTTGGACTTCGAGGGCTACACTGTTTTGGGGCAGTATATATGCATTTATGCATGGCACAGTTTTCACAAACATACTACAAAAAGGCATTGCATGCAGGGCAGAGAGCTGCTGCGCCTATAACTCTGTTTGCGCCACTGCCAATTACGATGTTTATTAAATTGCTGAGGAGATAATCTTTACCTAAAAAAGAACGAGTTTTGTTTATTTTTAGGCAAAACTTAAAAAAAGTATAATAAACAGCTATTCATTTTTATTCATTCACCTTTTGTATGGCACGTTGTGACAACAGGGTACAATGAAATCATCCATAAATGACATTTTCAGCAAAATATGAACATTAAAACAATCATGAAACAAACAATTCATAAACCAGCAAAAATTAATACAAATATTAATAATAAGTAAACACATGCACTACAAAAAGAGATGTTAAAAATGACAGTTTTTATCTTTTAGAGTGTGTGTGTTAAAATGGATCTGTCATGTAAGGCAATTTAACACACACGTGTCATTTAAACACATTGTTATGTGCAACTGAAAATTACCAGAAACTGCAAATTAATGCATTAATATAACCAAAATATAAAACATGACCAGCCATTTGTAATTCTACAAAATCGAAACGGACAGATGTAAAAAAATATGTAATTTATGGTCAAATGTTGTCTGGGTAGAGAACAATGTATGCACACTGGCACATCAAAATGTTTTAAATCTCAATTGCATAAATTCTGCTTAAGATGATTTGATGGCACAAATGCTTTGTAACGTTCTACAGCTATTCGCTACACTACAGTATACATTAAAAACTGTCACCAATATCAACTACACTTATGGTTAACTGAAACAATCATACACAGTTAAGACTAGTGGATATCATTTATTATAACATAAGATCAACGTAATCTCATAAAGTCATAAAGTTAAATCAGACAACAAAAACATTCTAAATCTGTCAATGACAGTTAATAAAAAAAAAAAAAATACATAGAAAATTTGTAATTTTGCTTCATAACCAAAATGCATTTGTAATGCACTAGCTATTAACAACAGTATTCATTAAAAATAGTTACCAACAGCAATTACATGGTCTGATGCTCTTCCAACTCCATAGTTGTGGTGCAATATTAGCTCTAGGCTTGAAGTTAAGGGAAAAAACAAATACATTTCAGGAGTTTCGAATGCACTAAGGCATCATTACAAAAATAACAGTGCATGTAAAACATACCGGTACAAAATGAATTTGAAGGAATGAAATTGCAGGTTTAACACAGCAATGATTTTCAGACCTTCTTCAGGTCAAGTCATACGTGAATATATGCATAGAAATATATTCACAAGTGAATATTTGTTATAACAAATTATCCACAGGAGATGTGTGTAAGTAATGAGTTCACACATGCATACATCTGTCATATCTGTCCATCTCGTCTATAAGAGATGCAACATCACTCCTTTCCATGGCAGCTTCAACTTTCAACTTCTCATTCTTTCCATCTGTTAATTTTTCCAAACTCAACATCCAGCTTAAAGAGGGAACAATTTCAGAACATATTCTAAATCAACAGTGTAATATCAGAACTTATGCATTGTCTATGCAGCCTGAAATGAAGACGGACACAGTTTTTGTTTAATCCAGCTGTATTTACAACTTATAACATCCAAGTGAAATGCATAACACTGACATGTCAGAAAAAAAAAACTGAATCACTGAGTTGGGAAAAGGATCACCCCCCTCCTAAAAATGACTTGTTAACTCAATCAGTTGTAGCTAATCACCTTCTCAATGGCACACAAAGCCATTTGAGTTTCAACTGTGATCAGTTGTGGTTATTTTGATCAGCTCAGCATGAAAAGAGCTTTCCTGGAGTATTTTAGTACTTGGTAGTGAAACTGAAGCAAACAATCAACTATGGGTGGCAAGGCACTGTCAAAAGATCTCTGGGATAAAGGTGTGTGTTAAAATCATTTCAGTCCTTGGTAGTGCAACTGAAGCAAACAATCAACTATGGGTGGCAAGGCACTGTCAAAAGATCTCTGGGATAAAGTTGTGTGTTAAAATCCAACAAAACGTGTGTCAGAATGCTTTCAACACAACAATGTGTGTTGTTTTGTGACATGTGTTTGTGCAGTGTGTAACAACTTGAACAAACTTTACACTTTCTTGTTAACTATACCTTTATAATTTAGATGCCTAGTCTGCTAGTGTGGTTTTACTGAGTTCATTTGTTAACACAACAGCTAAAGCCAAAAATCAATATAATGATATTCGAACGTTATTTTAAAGTTAGCATAATGTTGCTGCAATGTTCTTTCCACCAAATTCTATTACTAGTTTCTAGTTTCTTTAATATTACAGAATGTTATTTAGAGGTTAGTATGATGTTCCTGAAATGTTCCTTGTTTTACTGAGGTCATTTGTTAACACAACAGCTAAAGCCAAAAATCAGTATAATGATATTCGAACGTTATTTTAAAGTTAGCATAATGTTCCTGCAATGTTCTTTCCACCACATTCTATTACTAGTTTCTAGTTTCTTTAATATTACAGAATGTTATTTAGAGGTTAGTATGATGTTCCTGAAATGTTCCTTCAACTAAACTTTTATTAACAACTCAACATTTTAGGATGTTGATCTGGAACATTCAAAGAACGTTAAAATGTCTGGTTTCTAACAGAACATTATTTTAAGGTTAGCATAATATTCACTTCTTTAACCAGGTACGACATTTAAAGAGAATGCGAATTTGAACAGCTATCTGCAAATAGTGTATAAAACTGCACATTTTCAAAACACTGGTTAAAATGGTGAATAATGACATAACAAAAAAGAGTATACAAGTTTCATATTTACGATTATAAAGAATTATAACTTGACAAACAAAACATACAAAATTGTGCTTAAAAATAGATCTAACTTAGAAGACAGAATTCACAAAAAAAAAAACTAATTTGAAAGGGTTTTGAACTAGACATTTATAACTAAACCACAAACCCTTTGCTGGAGAAAACATACATTGGTGTAATTGGACTTATGAGTCAAAATTGTAGTTACGGAGATATATCCCATGTGACAACTAGCCCCGGCCTCCCCCTCATCATTCCTGCAACACACATCAGGAGTGAAGTTCACTGCAGCTCAATGTCACTTCACTGTAGGCATAATAACATGCATGATGTTTGCCAGCGCAAAGCTGCGAGTGTAAAAACAAACATGACATAATCATGTCAAACGTGTTTCAAATACAGTCAGCATCCTTGTCTTTCTACCAATGAATACGATACCTGAGAATAGAATAATTTTGGTTTACTAAACGTTAAATATTAAATATCTGTTATATGTATATATGATATCTTAAAGTGTTGTTTTAGCACAGAAGCATTCACTGTATTAGTTGGGATCTGTAATCAAGTACAGTTTGTACCACTTGTATTTGTTTTTACAGAAATGTGACTCATTGATGTTCTGCTTATCTCTGTCAAACTCTATAACACCTTGACAGCTCTAATATTTCACAATGAATAAAGAGTCTGGAAATTCAGTTCAATTTCGTTATCCATGACAACACAAACAGAACAGAAAGAAGTGATTAAAGACATCAACAACTCAGCGGCTGAGACTGAGACTAGATTCGCCCGTTCTACATTGTTCCCACTGCCATTGTTGTAAGTGGGCCAAAAACAATGACAGAATTGAATAATGTCAGTTCAGGCTCCTTTGAATATACTTTATTAAAACCTTTGAATAGGAAGTTAAGATTAAAGTGCTATATACCATGCAAAATTGCTAACACAAGCATTAAATGCTGAACAGGATGACAGAATGACAGGACTAATGCAATAAAACACAACTTTTAAATGTTTATTTCCATTCACATGCCCGTGTTATGAATTACCGGAGAGCCAGATCATTTTACTGTATATAGGATAGAATAACAGATTCTTGCACTTTTTTTTTCTCCATTCTGACATTAATCTATTAATAAAAGACAAATCATAAAAATGCATTAGTCAGATACCAATGAAGAATGAATGTCTAAAATATACTGTAACTAAGCACTGAATTAACATATCTAATTGTTATGTAATGAGAAAATGCTCCTAATTTAATGCAGTTGGTTTCATATGATCAGTGTGACGAATGTCGGTTTTCAATGGTGCTATGCAAACACCGTCACTTATTGTTCAGGCACAGAAAGCTCTTACTTTCATCTCACATCTCCATCAGTGGGAGGTGAATGAGCTGACTGTATCATCTAGATCAGTATTTCCCAATCCACGGGCCACGGAGTACCTCAACACTGCACATTTATTTGAATGCCTCTCTTAGGTAATGTAACTCGGTAAGCATACAGTATGAGATTACTTTACATTAGAAATGAGCTTTCAATAGCTAACTGCGCCAGTAGTGATCATTAGCCTGTATACCTTTAAAGTACACAGACAGACAGACAGACAGAGACAGACAGATAGAGGCTAATGAAGGGCCAAACAGGAAATAAATATATTACATCTGAATATATAAATGTATATGTAGTTGTAAATCTAAATATATACAGAAAATGTAAATCATAAGTATGTAGTTATAATTCTGAATATATAAATAAAAAATGTTGAATATATACATGCAAATATAATACAATACAAATCCTACTATATAAATGTAAATCCTGAATAAATAGAAGTAAATCAGAATATATTGTTAAAACGTATAAGTCAATATAAATGTAGTGAGGTAGTTTCAAAATTGAATATATAAATGTAAATCAGTATGTATAATGTGAATATATCTGAAATCTGAATATGTAGTTATAAGTCTGAATATATAGAAGTCCAAAAATATAGATATAATTTTGAA